GGAAGCTGAAATTATAATTAAGTTCATTGTCATATAATTTGTTTATTTCAATTTCTCCTGAAGTCAAATAGAATACATTGGTGAATGGATGTTTTGGGGGTGTAGTTTACACTGTGTATGGAGTGGTAGGGTTGGGTGTCATATAATTTGTTCATTTACAACTCTCATGAAGTCACATAGAATTTCACTTAATTTATTTTCGTGTTCAAGCATTAACGTGTGAATCCAATTTTCACTGTGCTGTGTTAAGTCTCAATATGAGGGAAATGGCATTTTCACTGGAATTTATTTTAGCGAAAAAATGTTTACAGTGAAAATGAAGTATTTCACATTATTGCATATGTACTGCAGTTTATTTTAATTCGTCCCTGAAATCAAAATCGGTATTTCCACACCATATATGCAAATGAGGTATGAGAGCAAACAAAGTTGTCCTTTCAAGAGTAGCGTTTTTTGAAACATAGCAGAGATAAACTATATTTAGAAGTACGATATTTTACCCTTGGGTACATGAATATACTTGCCGAGTGAAATAAAATTTGAACAGTAATGGTACTTCTAGGCAGTCACTTATTTTTACTAAAACTAATTTGCATATCACCCATGCAATAATGTTTTTGGTATTTTCACGGTCAATATGCAAATGAACATGGTATTGGCGATCCGCTCCACTGGGATTGCCCTAAAAACCACTTTTGTGTGTCTTGGCTTGGCCGATTTCGCTCAAACGCAGCAGGTAGGTCACACCTTCATTAGGAAAAATCTGGGGGGGAAAATTGTCCACCATTGCCATAGCAACAGTCAAAAAACTGATTTTTTGATAGCTTCGCGCTAAATGTATCTCCTCCAACAAATTTACGATACAACATCTCAGACATAGCTCATTTTACTTAGCTTGAGTGTGGGCACAAAGTTTTGTAAAGTCTGAAAACAAATTCTGACCACTGTTTCCATGGGAACAACCAAAACCTGATTCTTTTAATACCTTCACGCCAAATGAACCACACCCTACATTTCTATGATTAAAAGGCACGGACATAGCTCATTCTAGTCAGCTTGAGTGTGGGCAACAATTTACTGTTTTTTATGTCTATTTTCATTTCCGAGAAAATGGACCCCAACATTGGGGTAACTTTTCGCCAGCGACGGCTTTTAACTCATCTCTGAGATTTTTTTGGCTTGGCTAATTTTGTTCATACATGACAGGCAGGTCGTAACGTCACAAATTGGAAAAACAATCCTGGCCCACAGTTACCATGGCAAAACTGATTTTGAATACTTTCGCCCCAAATTTATTACCTCCTACCAGTCTTGTAATAGCACTAGTGTTTAAATGATCATGCCTTTTATGCTGGCTACGTTGCACACCGGCATCAACATTGTTACACTGTATCAACGTAACGCAACTTTGAATGAAATGTGAATGCTGCCTCCAA